AATAAAGTAAAAATCCTAACTCAATTATAAGAAACATATTTTCAGAACAGATCTCAAAGTAAAATTCAATTCAAGAATATACAAGAGAGGGGCACCTGGATGGCTCACTAGGTTGAAGGTCCAACTGTTGATTTTAGCTCAGGTCATTATCCCAGGGTCGTGGAATTGAGTCCTGTATCGGGCTCCATGTTCAGATTAAGTGCTTAAGATTCTCTCTCTGCCCCTCTTTTCAGCCTGCACTCTCTCTGTGTGCCCCTCTCCCCAGCTTTCTCTCTCTCTTGCTCCTTCTCTCTCTCTCACACACACAAATAAATAAATAAATAACATACAAGAAAAACTCAACTAAAATAAAGCTATTCTGAAAGATTGAATATAAAAGGGCAAAAACACTATAAAAACACAAATAAAAACAAATTAGAAATTGTAATATAAATACCAGATAAGGTAGTAGCAGGCAAAAAAAAAAACAATAAATAAAACGAAGAATGACACTTTATAAAAGGTGAAATTCACAATGAGGTGTGAGTTTTATCTTCACACCAAGTAACACAACAGTAACATTTGAAAAACTGAAATCACAGTAGTTATTAGAAAAACAACACACACCAATAGTAGTCTTTAATTTACCTCCTTAGCCCAGGACCCCCGGGCAAGTAGACAAAAAAGGTCAAGAAAACAGAACTCAATAAAAGTTATTTAATACTATAAACTTCCCTGATCAGTACATTGAACTCTGCACCATAAAAACAAAGAATGTAACCTTTAGGGGCACCTGGGTGGCTAAGTCAGTTAAGCGTCTGACTTGGTTTTGGCTCAGGTCATGATCTTGCGGTTTCTGAGTTCGAGCCCCAGGTCAGTCTTCAAGCTGACAGTGCAGAGCCTGCTTGGGATTCTCTCCCTCTCTCGCTGCCCCTCTCTCACTCATTCTGTCTCGCTCTCAAAATAAATAAATAAAAACTTGAAGAAAAAGAAAAAGCATGTAACATTAAAAAAAAAAAAAATCTCGAGGAATGTTCACAAATATTGATTCTATAATAGGCCAGAAAGAAAATTTCAAAAAATTCCAAAAAGAATAAATTGTATTTTCTATTCATAGTGCAGTAAGAGTATGAGTTATTAACCAAGTTACAAAATAAAACAAAACCAAAACATCCCACAACCTGGAAGTTTTTCAAGACTTTCTCAAACATCTCCTTAAGAAACAAAAAGGAAATATAAACTAAAATTGGAGAATTTCTAGAAAACATACAAACAGAAATCACAAGTCAGAACTAAGACCATTCTCAGTAAATGCCAAATAAGTGTTGGCATACAGCAAATGCCAAAAAAGTAACAGAATGAAGAAACCAAGAGAGAAGAAATCAGTAAAGATACAAGTAAGGAGTAAAACAATAGTAAAATGATATAATACATTATCATTTGGAAGCTGGTCTTCATGAGGCGTTTTACTAGTGAGGAAACTAAAATGGATTAACCAGTAGCTAACATGATCAAGAGGAGAAAAAAGTCAGGGGAAGTAGAAATACAGCATTGTTTGTAATGGCAAAGACTGGAATGTCCAAAATGATTAAATATAGCACATTCATAAATAGAAACACTGCAGCTTTAAAAGGACAAGGGAAATCTTTATATACTGATCTGAAAAGATCTCCAAGATATACTGTTAAGTGAAAACAGTAAGGTTCAGAATGATAAGCACAGTAAGTTGCCCTTGTACAAAAAACAGGAAATATAAGAATCTATAACTGCATTTTCTTGTACATGAAAAAGAAACTTCGGGAAGATACACAAGAATCGAGACAGTGGTTTCCAACTGGAAAGAGTAGAAATTGGATATAGGGAGACAAGGATATATTGAAGTATGTTTTTCAGCACACAATGTTTTTATACTTCTGGGTTTTGAGCCCTGTAAATGTACTACTTATTTTTTAAAATAAAATTTTAGATTTGCATATGACCAACATTAATTTATCAAATATTTTCAAGCACTTACCAAAATTGTATTTGGTATTGAAAATGTACAAAATGAAAAGATTCAGAACGCTCTTTTTTATTTTTTTAAGTAATCTCTACACACAATATGGGACTCAAACTTACAACCTAAGATTAAGAGTCGCATGCTCTACCAATGGAGCCAGCCAGGCACCCCCAGAACGTTCAAAAAGCCTGTAGTCTTTACGCTTTGAGGGGACACAGGTGGGATATGTGACTGATCCTTCGTACAAAGACATTATATGGAAAGTGCAATAAGGCCATTTATATGGACATAATGGAAATGAGGATGTTGTTGAGGGAAGATGACTCTTAGGCTAAGATTTAAAGGGCAAGCCAGAAATTTTTGGTGGAAAGATAATATGCCAAGCAGGGGCACCTGGGTGGCTCAGTTGGTTAAGCGTCCAACTCCTGGTTTCAGCTCTGGTCATGATTTCATGGTTTGTGAACTCCAGCCTTGAGCTGGGCTCTGCAAAGACCGTGTGGAGCCTGCTTGGGATTCTCTCTGTCCCTCTGTCTCTCTGCGCCTCCCCTGCTCTCTCTCAAAACAAATAAACTTAAAAAAAAAAAAGAACATCCCAGATTAGAAAACAGAGGCTTGGAAGTAAAGAGAGCAAAGGTATTCAAGAAATCATTACAGATCAGGATTTTGCAAGAGGAAGAGTGCCTAGAATTCTGACTGAAGCTGAAAGGGGGCTAGATAAGAAAAGGCATGAAATACCATGTTATGTAATTCTATTGCCTTCTACATGTCCGCTATTATGCTGAGTGCTGGGGATAAGGAAGTAAACATGGCCTCCTTGTAGCTTAGTCTAGAGGATAACACCCAACAAAACCAAGAAAGCAGCTTTTGCAATACTTTGATGTCGGGACCTTTCCTGTCTCTAGCTCTTTTCACATACTCTGTTGCCTCCATCAGAATGCGCTCTCTACATTTCCTCTCCCCAGCCATTCCTAGCCTAGCTAATTCCTTTCTCAAGACTCCCATTAAATAACCCTTGTTCCAGGCAGCCTTCTTGGACTCCTGAGACTAAATCAATCAGTTCCACTTGCTATATACTTGAAAGCATGCTGTGATTCTTCTTGGTAACTACACTTAGAAGTCTTTGTCTTTCTTCTTTTCCAAACTGCAAGTGGTATGAATACAAGAGCCTAATCTGTCCTGTTTACACTGTATCTCTAGCACTAATCACAGAATACAGCAGACCCTTAATGAATTAATAAATGAATAAATTGTAGAACATAATTTAATCTTTCCTGATCACTCAGGTGGATTATAAAAAACCCAAATGATTGTATTTATACATTTCAGGTATATAGACTATGCAGTCTCTTCCTCATGGCTCTAGAATGCTATACATTTCAAGTACTTGTCCCTTGACTTTTTTTCTTTCCTCTCAAACCGTAATTGTTAATTCCCACTACTTTTAAGTCTATACTTCTAGCAGATTCCAAGTACATCTAATTTGCAGCTATTTCCTGAGCTAAACAGATAAACAGAGTTATAAGAGATACAAGTGGCATAAGACCAAGTAGTTTTTGAGGACTTTCTTGAGGGGGTGGTGGTTTGGGAGGGAAGGGTGTGCTGAAGGACAGAATGGGGATGCAAAGAGACAGTCTTTTACAAGTAAACTACTTAAACATCACTGCATAGTTTCTTTTGTAAACAAGACCTTTTATTTTTGCTAACTTTGGTTTATTCTGTTACATAAGTTCAAATAATTGTTAATACATGTTTCTTCATACAAATAAAGAGTTGAAAAGAAAAATCTGAAAATAAACATTCCATTGTAAAAGGAAAGAAAAGAATCAGTTGAAAAAAAACTGGTCCAAGATACTGAGGAAAAGTATTTGAGTTTTCATCAATTCAAGATGTAAGCTTTTTCCCATTTACAAATACATGAAAGTGGAATGTGCCTCACAATTAAGGTCTTAAATGTAAATGGCAATGTTTTTCTCTCTCAGTTGTACATAAAATAATGGTGTACCTCATAACTAATGGTACCTTAGATTTGATGAAATGCATATTATAAAAATATTTATCTATATGACTTTCTCAACTACCTAATTCTTAATTATCTACTCACTATTATTAACATATTCCATCTCTCTTGCCCCACTAATATGAAAACCAAATGCTCATATTAATGATGGTGACAGGAGATAAAATCCAGTATAAAAGAAAAAAAAAAAGTAGCAATTTTGTTTCACTAAGAAATCTCACATTAAGAGATCATGGGCCTCTCCAACAAATGGGCCTAATTAAAATTCTGCTCCAGAAACTCTAGTTAAATCCCTCAGAACCCTTATCTTCTGAGGAAAGTATGTACCCTAGCTATGTTGTATGTAATCATCATAATAGTTCACAAAATCATTTATTCATTGTTGAAGAGATAGAAATGCATCTCCTCTGGTTTCCAAGGTCAATAGTCTGAGTGGTCCTGCATACTTCAGGACCATTAATTTAGAGTAATTTACAACATTATTATTCTCTAAAAGCATTACACAATTAAATATGCTTCTTGAATTACTAGCAACATAATCACTAATGTGACTTTCAACTCTAAACTAGCATAATTACAAAAACTTGAAATTTTTCATTTATACACAACTGTAAAAATTAGATACACTAAGTCTGATCTTCATACAAAATAAAAACTCTCCAAAAAACTTACATACCTTTTGTTACTTTTTCCCCCTCAAAGGCAAAAATGTAAACCAATTGCTTCTAGAAATGATTAAGTTATTACTATTCTTATTAAGTTACTATTATTCTTAAATATTTTCTCTTAAAATAACAGGTAAACATCAGAAAAAATATTTCCACTAGGGCAAAAGAACAAAAGAACAGAAGTCAATGAGAAACAAGTCCTAGAAAATATGCAAAAAACAATCATCTTGGTTGACAAAAGATATTTTGAGGGGATAATTAAATGTGAATGTTGATCTGATAACCATCATTACAGAGTAAAACCACTAACAAATTACTTTTTGTTTTCAGTACCTACCTTTGTCTGGGAACTATGAAGAGCGCCCGTACCAACTTCTTCCTATTTGCTTTTGTATTCATGTTCATGCAAAAATCCATTGCTGCCTATGGGAGAAAAAGCAAACTTTTTTCCTTAAAAAACTTTTTTGATTTAGCTAATGAAAGCAGAAACCCTCCATGCTACAAAGGACTTCTATGTGTTCCTAAATATTTCAAAATGGTTTTAGAACACTGGTATTATAAGCATATGCCAAATTAAAGTATCACTGAACTTAAACTATCCTTTCCTTTTAGATCTCAAAATACATGTTTCATAAACTTTTTTTAAATATATTTATTTACTTACTTACTTATTTTGAGAGAGAGAGAGAGAGAGAGAGAGAGAGAGAGAGAGAGAGACCGAGTGTGAGCAGGGGAGGGGCAGAGAGAGAGGGAGACACAGAATCCGAAGCAGGCTCCAGGCTTTGACCTGTCAGCACAGAGCCCGATGTGGGGCTTGAACTCGTGGATCATGACCCAAGCCAAAGTCAGACACTGAACCAAATGAGCCACCCAGGCGCCCCTCATGAACTTTTTAATTGCAACCTAGTGTTAAAAACAGAACCCCAAGTGGGTAGACTGAAGACCCACCATGAACTATCTGGAAAATAACTGTATGAAATGTGTAATTAATGCCTTCAACCTCACTGAAGTCAAGTAATATCAGAAAAAAACTCTGACAGAATTAGAAAGTAGCAATAATAGTTACCAGGAGCCAAGAAAATTATTAATGCTAATAACAATAATCAAAAAGGAGCAAAGATAAACTGGAAATGAGAAGAAGGCATACATTATTCTCAGGAATATGTAAGAATAAATGCCCCAACATTGACGAAAAAGATTTAGTTTAGTGTCAACAATCAGACTTGACAATTTAAACTAAAGAAACCACACCTCAATATTGTAATAAATGCCCACTATTAATAAATACAACTATTATTTAGTGTAGCAATCCACCATTCTATGCTACAGATCAAAAAAAAGTGTTCAATATTTCATCAATATGTCTCACATATAAGCATAAAAGAAAAGCTAGAAGAGATGAACATTCTGGAAAGCCACTGGAAAATAGAAATATGAGTAATTTTTAAAATACGGTATTTTTAGGGGCGCCTGGGTGGCTCACTTGGTTGAGCTTCCGACTTCGGCTCAGGTCATATCTTGTGGCTTGTGAGTTCGAGCCCCGTGTCGGGCTCTGTGCTGACAGCTCAGAGCCTGTGGCCTGCCTCAGATTCTGTGTCTCCCTATCACTCTGCCCTAACCCACTCGCATTCTGTCTCTCTCTCAAAAATAAACATTAAAAATAAATAAATAAATAAATAAATAA